TTCCTAAAAAAGTTCAACATCCTCTTGCCCAATATTGTTTTCGAAAAAAATGCAATACCGCCCTTGCCCTAGCTGACCTTGTTTCTGATATCACTGCCAACATTGACAACGAATTTGTTACATTTGGGGTATTCATTGACCTAAAAAGGGCATTCGATACTCTTGACCACAATATCCTTTTTGAAAAACTGGCTTATTATGGGATAAGGGGTCTCTGATAGACCTAACTGATAGACACCAAACAGTAAACATTGACAGAACTGCATCCACATTCAGACAGATTCAATACGGGGTGCCCCAGGGATCAATATTAGGGCCTTTACTTTTTCTTATCTACATAAATGATATTAACCACTCTACTGATTTCCACCTGTTTGAGGATGATACAAATTTATTTAAATTCCTGCAAACTAACTCTATTGATCTTTCTAATATTAACAATGATTTTGAAAATGTTGTACAGTGGCGCAATGCTAATGAATTAACAATTAATATAGAAAAAACAAACTATATGATCCTGAAAACTCCGGAAAGAAAAGTAAAAGTGGAGGAACAGCTCGCAATCAATGATACGTTGATAGAGGGCGTGTCTACAGGAGTAACCATTGACCCATGCTTAACTGGAATTCTCATATTGACAAAATTGTGAAAACCATCAGTCCCAAAATGTGCATTATATCTTGCATTCGTTACTATGTTCCCAGATCAATTCTTATCTTACTTTACAACACACTTATTCTCCAACACTTGATGCACTGTAGTGAAATCTGGGGGAACACATAGCCAACACTAGTCTTCTTAAACCAGTTCTGCTCTTACAAAAAACAAAGTTGTGCGCCTAATCATCTTCTCTCACTTTAAAGCTCACTCTGCTCTTCTTTTTATTCAATTACACATACTTGATATTCACAAACTTTGGAAATTATAAACCTGTCTATTTATCTTGGACCTTCAAACACAACAGATATGCACATAGCCGCAATAAGTATGTACATAATTACCCACATTGCTATCCCACAAGATCAGTGTCTAGCGGTAATTTGTCAATTCCTGTTGCTCAAATTACAGTTTTACAATATAATTTTAAATTTGCTGCAGTAAAACACTGGAATTCACTTCCAGACTCCCTCAAAAACATCAAACAAAAACAAATTTAAATACGAAATGAAACATTATTTGCTTTGTTAAATTTCTTGATTACTCTTAGTACTTCCCACTTCTCTGCATAATTTGTCTTTACTTCTGCATAATGCGTGTGTATTCGCTTGCTTATTAACAAACATAAACACCCTTCAAATGTACTATATTTTAAATAATGACGCTAGAATAGTTATTTTAGTTTTCTTTAGCGGATGATGAACAAAAGTGTACGTGTCCCTTGTAGATGTCTGTGTTTATCAGAATATAAATATATATTCAATTGTACCTATCCGTGTTTACATAATGATCACATGGTCACACTTAAATTCAGTGTTATTTTAACAATCTGTAAGAATATTTTATTGGGTTTTCATTTGATGCGATACACAATGCATTACAAAACAATATTGTAAAACATAATTGAATTGAATTTGAATTATTTAATCAAAAATAGTAATACAAATTATAACAATAATATGAATTTGTAAGTTTACCTCGAGTTTATATTTAATACATAAACAGATAACTTCAAAAAGTAAAATAAATTAAGACAGATTTAATCTAAGGAGCCGTTTATACAAAGCATTATCAAAAGACGTACACTGGTCTCTTTTCCATCCACTCTGCAATTCTAGGACGACTCTCCACACGCTGCTTCAACGCATTTAGCTTGGGATAATCTGTCAGGACTTCCGGTTTCAACTCCACCATTGAGTAACACGAGTCGATAAATGCTAAGTCAGCCAGTGTGACCTAAGGATAAGAAAACGTTATTCCTGTGTTTGTTCGAAATTTGTACCAATAAAAATGAACCATAACATTGTATTGATAATCTGGTTGTGTTCTGGTAACAAAATATCCAAATAATCACTGATCCTAACAAAAAGAAATCATTATCATTATCAGTTGTATGCGATCGAGTGTTGTAGATTCCATTGAAAACAATGACATATATTGTTTATAAATTTTAGGCTTGCCTATTTTGTAATTTATTAATACATACCTTCATCCTCACCCAAGACGAACTAGTTAGCATTCAAATATAATTTAGATCTACATGATAGTATAGCTAATCACACGACTAGCTGGGAGGTTTCAGTGATGTACCTATACTTATAGTGTGCTTCTTATAATTGTCACAAAGTCGAGTGTCATTTGCAAGATGCTGAGCATATTAAGTGTAAGTATAGCACACAAACAACACAGTTAAGGGTTTCCAGCAATTTATACCACGACACACCTACTTCGCCTCATTAATATACGGTCTTTATTAACACGCAAAGCTTTGCGCGACGGCAAATATATTCTGCAAACATCTTCATATGAACACCAAAACAAATCTCCCTTGAAGGCTATGACTCCTTAATATTAAAGTCATAATGCAAACCGAACAAGGCAAACATTTCCAGTAGTTGAAAAAGAACTTTCATCTATCTCTAAAATGTCCAGTCTTGACATTTAGCCAAGCTATTAATTCAAAAATACCAAATGTACGACTGTTAACTAATTCACATATTAAGAAGTGTTTGATTACTTATCCACATATACAAGACCTAGCAATGTCTATGTTACTTTCATACATAAACATAAACAACTGTGACGATTACTAATCTACATTGGGATAGACACGGGCAAAATGACAGGTGACCAATAGTATTATAATATTTGAGTCATTTAGCCTACCTTATCTCCGACAAAGTATCCATCACCACCATTGTTTTCTTTCAATACACGTTCAAGTCCTTGTAATAACAAAGGGAAGACGTCTTTAAAGTATTTGTCCATCAATTCTTGCTTTTTTTCTTTTTCGGCTAAAACTGTTTCTGCGAGCTTTTCAAATATATCTTTTATTGTGTCTGTTATCATGTCGATCTTTGCTTGGTCAAATACGTCATCAGCATATAAACCTATGTAGTCAATACATTTAAATATTGATATTTAATGTATATTTATTCTTTAGACCAAACTCATAATAACATAGGGAATCAATTCAATGAATTTAAGTTTGATATTGACATGGAATAAAATTAATCCAAGCAGTGAAATCTATTCTTCGATGTAACTATCAATCTAACTGCGCAATCAGGGGCAATAGGGCTATAATTAATAATGACACTTTGGCTCATTTGTGTTTGATGATAGGTGCCATATATTTCATACACCCTAGTAAAACACAGTGAATGATTAAAGTAGAACAACAAAATATGGCGAACACTGTAAAAAAGATGTAGATGCATATTTAAGATGTTCTACATGAACTGTTTTTTTTAAAGTCTTGTTAACAGATTGTTTTTAGTACATGACCTGATTTCGCCTTCAATTATACATTATTTCGGCTGTCTTTCGTCGAAATGACTTGAAATTTTATCGATCTTGGTTTGACCCTTTTCTTTTTTAAGTATTTGTCTTTGGTTGTTCAATATCAGTATCACTGTGTGCACTTGTGGACAATTTTACAGTCGCATCCGTGGGTAGAATGTTATGTATATTAGTGATAAAGCAGATGAGTTTTCCAATAAAAAGCGTGGTCTCCCTTACCATGTCGTCTTGCTAGGAATCTTGCTATGGCTTGACCTTCTCCGATGGTCACTCCATCCACTTCTAAGATTGGTAACCGTGAGAATGGAAACTCTGAAATATTTCAATACAAAAATCAATTTACAACTGAGGTCATTAAAATGAAATAATTTTCAATCCAATGTATTTATTATAAGATTTGTTTACAATCATTTACTTGTGGGACATTATAAATGGGGTATCAATTAACAATAGTTGTACCATCCCCATGGAGTTTTAAAGGATCGGGCGAAATTAGGGCAAATGGCAAGAAACCCGAGTTTAGAAATAAATACCGCATTTTTTCTGTTTGACATTACCAAAGACAACTTCAGTAAAATTCCCCCTTTAAAATGCCTAGATCGTACCACGTCATTGCAACACGTATCTGTATCCTTATTCTGCGAAACTACTGTTTGCTGACTTGGTAAACGGACAAATGCTTGTTATAAAGTACGACTCCGTATAAATATGTTAATAAGAATAAAGAACAGAATTCGTGTACTCGTGAGGGCATCGTGTGCCAATACCCTGCTTCTAGGGACACGCTGCGAGGACAGATTGGAAGACGTCGTGGTGCACAGTAATTCCAGTTCAAATAGTGAAATTTAAAATTTTCAGACTTGTTAAAACAGAATTTTTAAAATTTATTATAACAGATACATTACACAAAAAGTATGCTTAAAATTAATTTTTAAATTGCGTATGAATTACATATGTGACCGTTTATACGATGTCACTTGTGTAAACAGAATAGACAGAAACATCGAGTATCATGACACCGATGGCGACCTAAAGTGACACCACCTACACCTGCATCTACGACAGAGCTTCTTGTAAAATAATGTTAGTACACTTAAAGTCCTAAAAAGTCAAACACGGTAAAGTTGAAGCGGAGTTACTCGGGTGAAATTGGATTGTGTAATACGCGTTGTACGCGTTCGTTATCTAAACTAACTGTCATAATCTTGTGTTGATAACCCTTAAACTCTACAGATATGTTTACTGTACTTTGGGAGTCATTGCATTTTGAACCCATGATAGTTTAGGTCCAACGTACAACGGGTAGTAATGTAGACAGGAGTGTAAATATCATTAAGTTTCAAGTCACACAAATTTGTAAAAAATTATTTTGTTTGAAAAAAATCTAATGATGTGCCATCATTTAGGCTAAAGATATGCACATTGGATTGACTTACTACTAATGCCTGGTGAGATTTTCAGTTTCGGCCATTCATCTTTCCAATTCGATTACTATGTCTTCGTATTCAATTTCAGCCTCAGCAAGAACCAGCCGAGCCAATTCGGACACGTCCTCTGAACTGGAAATAGAGTAGCTTATACTGCGACATTTTGGTGTTCACTAGCTGAAATGTATATGAGTGACGCAATGTGAACGGAGAAACCAAACGTAGTGACGTGGCCTGAATGAAATGATGTAATTCAGTGGCGTAATGTGAATGATTTACTATATTGTGATGTCCACACATGTAGCCAAGCGCGGTCCAATATAATTTTAGTCCACTCGTGAAAAAATGTAAAATATTTATGAATATTTAGCTTAGAATGCTGGTTTCAACCTCAAATATCTGTGTTTAATCCCGATATGATGTACGTGTGAAGGTCGTAAAGGTTAAAACAATTTACTCTAACGGCGATCCAGTAGTAGGTGAATAAAGTATGAATAGTGTGAACGCCAAGATAAATTAAACCACTGCTATGTGTTAACAGACTCGGGAATATTTTCAGCACGTGTGTAGAAAGACTAGGACTAGTAATCGCCATAACTTGTTGATACGTGGATATAAAAAGAAGAAAAATTAACTCCTATTGATGCTGTAGGTATTGTGGCTTCACAGATGATACTGACAGATTTATCGCCAAATTTGCAAACGCGAATGTTCAAATTA